TGGTTGGGCACTGGGGTGGCTGTGTTGTTGCAGAAGCAGAGGGATCGGAAGGGGTGTGGGAGGTGGTTGTGGGCTAGGAAGGGGGCTGGGTGAGTCAAGCCGGGGCTGGGACGTGGTTGGTGGTGGCGGTCTGCTATGATGGCCAGCGGCAGCCGTCCGCTGTGATGCTCGACGGTGGCACTAGGCGGGGTTAGCCAGGGACAAGGTTGAGGGGGCTATGAGGAGCAGGGGAGGGATGAGGCCCGGGACACCGAAGATGGCGTGTCACTGTGATGGAAGACACCGGAGATGGCGTGTCACTGAGGCCGGAGTCGGTCACTGTGGCGGTGTCACTGTAATTGATGGGTGGGTGGGTGGGCGGGCGGGAACTATTGCGGTGTCACTGATGGTGGTTATGTCACTATGTGGTGGTGTCACTGGTCGCAGTGTCACTGGTAGCGGTGTCACTATAAAATTGTTTTAGTGGTGTCACTGTAGGAACCTTATTGTAGCAACGTTAATGTAGCAAAGTTACTGTAGCAAACGTTTCTGTAGCGCCGTATTGTTGCACCGTTAGTTTTACTCACTTTTTTGGAAAATTAACTCAAAGGTTACTTTTTTGCCAATCACCCACTTATTAATAATATTAGGGTCAAAATCCCTCATATGGAGCAAAGGTATGCAAATTTAGATTAAGATAACATGCATACCCATGAGGGGTAAATTTGCTTATCAAATCCGGAGTAAATAACAAAGATATATCAGTGGACAACCAATTAATTTCCAATTGGGCGTATTCAAGACGATATTTGTATGTTTCTAACTTTGGGAAAAAACTTGAAATATATCATCAAAAACAATTATACAAACATTCATGCACATTCATTAAAACTTTTAAGTGCTTACAAACTAATTACGTGAAAACGTAGAGGTTAATTCCTTTAGAAGTATGTTAAGTTTGGAAGTGGTTTTACAGTACGTAATTGATGGTTTATTAGTTGATTTTTTGTACATTGAATTCGAGATAATGTTAGACCCAATTGGGTAGCCAATGCAATTAACGACCACATGAATATTATTAAAACATAAGTAGTTCATATATAAGAATCAATGACAAAATCAAAGTACCATTATATATATATAGATATATTAATGGATTGCAAATATTCCCTGGGAGATTTTGATAATATTATGCATAGCTTCTCTAAAACACAGAATTAATTATATATATAAAGACATAAATACGGGATTAATTTTCCAGGTACATACATGTGTCAATGTGTGTACATATTAATACTAGCATTTGCTCGCGCAAGGCGCGTGAGCCATTGCCCGATGTTAATAATGCTCCTTTTTACAAATTGTTGCATCAATTATATTTCTTCCGTCTCAGATCAAATATTGTGTGGAAGGTATTTCTATTTTATTTAAAAGTATGAGATTATGTGGTTTGGATTTATTATATTTTTTGTTCAAATATACTCCCTCTGTTCTGAAAAGGTTCGTCAAATTGACTTTTTCTAGTTAATGCATCAACCTTGGCCAATGATATTTTTTAATACGAAATTATTCAGAATATGAAAACTATATCACAATGTCTCTTGTTCAAAATACTTTCATATAAGCATATATAAAATTTATAAATCATATACAAATATAATGATTAATACAAATATAATGATTCAATATGACGAACCTTTTCGAGACGGATATAGTATGAAATAGTTGTAAATGTCGATAAAAGAATTCTACAAACACATAATTTGGGGTGTCCATTTCATCTATTTGTAGAAATGGAAGGAGCGAATTTCCTACGCGTGAAATCATTTATGACCGTACTAGTACTAGATAATGAACAAGCCTCCAAGTGATATTTAAGTGGGGGAGATGCCGGCATCAGCACAAGTGCACGTAACTTTGAAGTTAAAGTTAACGGAGCTTCTAAATATTTAACGGTCATTAAGGGTAAAAAAGTCAACTGAAAAATGGGGTTCCATTTTTTAATAACAATGTACCACATCTTTTGCATAGAGTGTATTGACACAAACTAAGGGTACCAACCGTGATTCATGATTATAATGTTGTTAGATATGTATATATGCATGTGGGTGTTTATCGATAAAAGAGGTTCTAATAATTAATGAATACGGAGTACTAATAAAAATAGAGTACTTCTAGAAAATGTTTAGTACGGTAAAAAACAAAAGATTTTGAATACGGAGTACTATGTATTTCATTATACGGAATTTGTGTCTATCACAGCAATACGGAGTACTAATAATCTATATAATATAATAAAGCAAACCCCTAAAGAACTTTTTAGAGGAATTGTTGACATGTGGCAACATCCTTTGTATAAAAAATGACATGTGGCAAAACAATAAATTAAAGAAAAAACTATTCAACTTCCATAACTCTACTCTTATGTATTCCAATATTATAGATATGTTTTATATTAATATATGTGTATATATTTGTTATAATGTTCAATATAAAGTTAGGTAAAATTTTGCACTCACCGGTATTACAAGATCCAAATACTCAAAAATAAAAATAATTAACAATTTTTAGCCACTCTTAAAATAAAAATATTACTTCTATTTCTTTTCTCATCAACTATTGGAGATTCTCCCTTATTCGGGGGTTTTATAAATTGTTTCTTATTTGTTTTCAAAATATGATAATTATTACATCCCCGTCTCATTAATTTTCTCGGACATATCCTTTTTCTTCCATTCACTAAGTTTGTGTAGCTCCGAATAGTATAATTCATATGTAGTTCTAAATCATTCTTACATTACGTCCATACTTTTCATTTCAACATTAGCTAGATAAACTCTTTTTTTAATAGCTGCACATGTCTCGATCTTAATGAGACAAATTTGATGTTACATATCTATTTAATAATTCACAAGGTCTATCACATCAATCTCTAAAGGAAGATTCATTTTTTTGTCTCATATTTATTTATACTTCACAATTTATGTTCAAGTTGTTAAATGGGTTAGCACTCCCCAATTTCATAGCTTGGATCATTTAACTGTCTAATGATCTCAAAATGCACATTATTTTTAATGGGGGTGCACAATACACTTATAGCTATAATAAGTCAGACTTTGAAAGGATAGGAAAGGTAGTTTTTTTACAAAAATATCACAGCATTTTTAATTTATTATAGCGCAAATTTCTATTTCAAATGATGCACAATTTTCAAATCTAACATTTCTGTTCATTCTAATTCACTTTTTACACGTTAAGGTGTCTTCTCATTTGAACTCAACCTTTTATATATACTCCGTAATATATAATTTTCAAATCTAACGTTCTGGTACATATATAGAAATAATGTTAGAGTAATTTATTTGAATAATTATTATATATAGAAATAATAGTTCAACAAGGGTTGTAAATTAATAAGTATATTTGAAATTATTTGGGTAGAATTGTAGAAAAGCATCAATATTGAAGATAATAAAAGTAAAAACTAGATGTTTACATTTTGGTTGACTCGCAACCTACATGGGTCAACTCACTTAACCTGCTACCCGTGCAAGTTGCACCACGAATTGAAATCGGTGAGTTCACAGGATTGAAGAATGACAACTTTAACCCACCGTGAAATGAGATGAAAGGGGCTAGCCCTATGGACTTCAACTAATTTTGACAGCTCTATCCATAGTCGATTGAATTTCTTTTAAACACTAATTGATGAATTCATGTACAATTCATTTTCCCGACAATTTTAATAAAAACTTTACGAACATATTTTCCCGTGCAGTGCACGGGTACACATACTAGTAATATAATAAAGCAAACCCTTGAGGAACTCTTTAGAGGAATTATTGACATGTGGCAATAGTCTTTGTATGAAAAAGTGACATGTGGCAAGACAATAAATTCAAGAAAAAACTATTCAACTTCCAAAACTCTACTTTTATGTATTCCAATATTATATACATATGTATTTAAATCATTGGTATACTGAAATTTTATAACTATTATATTGTACTACCTCCGTCCCACTAAGATTGGGACATGAGGTGATGACACGATTATTAAGAAAAATGAGTTTATGTGGTTGACGTTGAATTGCTGAAATAAAAATTAAGAAAGAATGATTTAATACGACACAAACTTTAGCTAATTTTGTACTTCGTATGAGAAAGTGTTAGAGGGACGGATCGAAAGGAAAAGATAAGAGAATCTCAGCGGGACGGAAGGAGTATCTATAAAAAAACACTCAATGTAGAAATGACGCAATTTACATCTTTTGAGTAAACATTTGAATAATTATTATAATATAGAAATAATAGTTCAACAAGGGTTGTAAAATAACAAGTATATTTCAAAATAATTTTGGTAGTAAACCATCAATATTGAAGACAACAAAAGAAAAAAAAAAGATGTTTATAATTTGTGTTACTCACTTAACATGTAACCCGTGCGAATTGACCCACGAAACCAGTCACTTCATTGGATAAAAAACGACAACTCTTACCCACTTTGAAAGGGGATGCAATAGACCAAGCTAGCCTGGAGACTTTGACTCCTTTCGACAGCTCTATCCACACTTGAGTGAATTTTCTTTTAAACCGTGATTGATGAATTCACATACAATTCATTTCACTTACAATTTTTATAAAAACTTTAAGTGCATATTTTGCCGTGCAGTGCACGGGTACATATACTAGTTAATGAATACGGAGTACTATGTATTTCATTTTCTTTCCGTGCATCACACGGGTACGATACTAGTAGACAATTAAAAACAAAAGTTTCTTTTTAGGCTTACTTGCACGTTATAGATTAATGTTTAATACGGTAAAAAAAAAAGATAAAGGGTCAATGTGTCCATAGAAGTTAGATTAAAAGATGTTTTTACTTGGATTGCAATCTATTCCAAATCAGACCAAATCAGATTAGACCTAACTTAAATAATTATAAAAATACAAAAAAATTCGGACGAGATGAGCAAATTAAAGTAAAAACACTTGAAATACTCCGGAGTACGTATGAAAGTAGTGATAAAGAGAAGGGATCACAGCATATCAATCCGTATGTGTGAGGCTTTGTACTTTGGAGAGTTCTTGCGATCACCGGACATGGCGTTATTCACCAGATATTCGGCAGTCCATCGCATCACCCATTATTTCCGTCCAGTAATCCTTAGCCCAGCTGGTACAGATTACCTTACATGTACCATAAAACGAAGACTCAGTTCCGACGCCCCATCAGAGTTCACCGGACCTAACGCATATGAGATCTTAGGCGTCTCCGAGACCAGCTCTTTCTCAGAAATCAAATCTTCCTTCCGTAAATTGGCTAAGGAGACTCATCCTGACCTTGCTCAGTCACAACCCGATTCATCCGCTTCCAAACGATTCATTGAAATTCTCGCTGCTTATGAGGTAAGGTGACTTCTCGTACCTCTCCTCTCTGAATTAAATTGAAATGACTAATGAATTGCCCTTCCATTCGACTTTTTGATATTTTGTACGGAATTTGTGGTAGATTCTCAGTTTGAGCCTTACCGAATATAATAATCTGTGTGTGCTGTTTGTAATTTTCTGTGTTGGATGAACATTTTAACCGCTTTGGGTAATTTCTTTGAATTCTACATTGATTGCTTTGTCATTTGAGGTATAGCGCCTCACTTGTTTTCCAATGAAATAATCAGGTGATTAAATAAAGATGATAGGAAAATGTGACTTCTTATACATAATCACTATATTAGTAATTTTTAACTGACTGTGATTATGTTTAAGTTTACACTGTGGTGACTATCAAGTTATACGTAAAGTAACTTTATTCGCTGTTTGTCTATAATTTTTTATTTCAGTAATATTCTAGGAAAAGCCTCCAATTCCAATCAACATTAATTGTTCTGATATTGTGGATCACTGTATGTTTAAGTTTAATAATGAATTTTCTTGATATATAACAATATTATACAATTTTCACCAACAAGCGAAGAAAACGAGTACATATATACTACATCTATCCCAAAGAACGAGTGCCTTTTGACAAGTTACAATTTTTAAGTTATTTGATAAATTGGTATAAAGAAAAAAGACAAAGTATGCAATAACTATTTAACTTTTTCAAGGAACAACTATTATAAGTTTACGTTTTCTGACTTCTTTTTAGTTTAATCACTTCACTAAGTTTATCATATTTAACTTGTTTGTAACTCTTACAAAAAAGTTAGATACTTTTGTTCGGACTGAGAGTGTATTATTATACAAGTTGTCACATTGGAGGGTGAGATTACATTAGTACGTCGAGGGTAGTAAGCTCTGTTCTTTTACTATTTCCAGCATTCACTTATTTAAAAAAAAAATTAAAAAAAGGCTATAACATTGGGGAAATGTTTATTATTCTGAAAACGTGGAATATTGACACCATCATGAAATGGAGTGCAGATACTATCTGACTCTGATAAAAGGACACATTATGATCAGTATCTCGTGTCTCAGAGAACAGTTGTTCAGAAGCAGGCAAGGCAAGGCCCAGTTATGTATAAGTATGAATCTGATAGACTCATAGAGAGAGAAATGGAAGTTGTTGAATGGTTGAGGTGGTATAGACATGCGATAAACGATATAGTGTCACAGAAAAGAGAGGTGGCTGGCTCAAGCTATTTTGATGTATTGGAAAGGGATTTCCACTCAGCTATACATGCAGCATTTTATGGCCCTGAAATTGAATCAATGCATCTGCTTCCTGAATGCTTTGAAGCTGAAGAGAGGTCCATGCCTTTTACATCAGACATTCTACACTTAGTCTCAGGGCGTGACCTCTTTGGGATGGTACGTGTTGCCAACACAAAAAAGTTAACATCTTTTGAAGATGATCCTTTCTGCTCTCTTAACAATATCAGCACAGAAATACATTCAACTCTAACTGCAAGTGGACAGTGTCAACGAAAAGATAGATGTGTTGGCTACTATGAATCAGATGCATATAAGGATTTAGAGCTGCATATATCCGGGAAGGTTGTTGCTATTGCCAGTCGGGTTCCGCCGAAGGGTAGTACTAATCAGGCACAAAACAAGGATGCGGACGATCTCATTCATGTTTACCTCACTTCCCATGAACACGAAACATGTGACCTATGGCTGCGTAATGATATCAATGCAGATGGTCCAGAGGGATCCAGGATTTTGTTAGGAACAGTAAATGGAATGGGGACAAGCCCTGAGGAAGGGTCATGCGATGTCTATGATCATAATGGTGTGCAAACTCATGTGATTATGAAACATAGGACACTGTTGGTAAGTTAAATTATGATTTCTAATTTTATTTGATTTGGTTGAGTGTCCCTAGGTTATCTTATCTACTGGATTTAAGTCTTAGCATGTTGCCACACCTCCACCATTTTGGGGTAAGTTAGACCTAAGTCCAGCATGTTACCGCACCTCATCGTTCATCTAGTGGATTTTATAAGGGACTTCAGTGGTGGTTTTTAGGGTGTCCATCCACTCTAGTTTGGGGGTGTCTGGGCTCATTTGTACTCTACATCTAGAGGATCATTTTGGGCATCAATCAGACCATTCCGACAGATTTGTAGAAGTGGTAGATTATAAAATACCCGTGGCTTCTCAATTTGGCTCATGGTCCCTTCTTCAAAACTTTGATCATCATCATTTCATCATTTTCATTTACTCTAGTGCCGCAAAGGCTCCCACCTATGGTGGGGTAAGGAGGGGTCGGATGTCTGCAGTCTTACCCATGTACTAAAAGCACAGAGAGACTGTTTCCGGATGACCCATTGTGAAAATCGCATCCAAAATTGCATGGACTGACTGCTGTTTCATAACAAAGAAGCGCAGACAGTTTAGTGAGCCATTTTGCTTGAAAAATAATGAATCTTTGGCTCCATTGCAAATGATGGAAAACTTTTTGAAAACTTTGATGCCTGGGTAATTTTTTTTCCAGGTGAAACACATGCACTGGTACCAAACAGGGGATAAAGTTTCTCTTTGTGAATGCAGATGCAGTAGAGCTCGCTTGCCTCCCAGCAAGTAAAACTACAAAATATTCCTTGAAAATCATGAACTGATCACATAGTCTTTGTTTACGTATCCCTCCAAGTAGTGTGATTTGCATCATGGTGGTAAAGTAGTACACGGTTCAATCTGATGGTTTATTAGAGCAGTTTTTTTTTTAATTAGTCATTTTCTTATGTTGATAGAATAGAAAGCTAAAATGTTGCTTGACTTCTAAGCATGCATCTTTTTTGCATTGTGTTTAATGCTAGTCACTAACTAAATCCTTGGAGGATGGGATAAAGATAGAAGTCAAGTAACATCGGTACCACTGTACCACTCATTACCAATATTTACTAATTATATTGAACACAACATCCGAATTTAGAAAATGTTCCATTTCTGAAAATTTGTTGATACTTTATGCAATTATTTACTACACACCTTTTCGCTTTTGAAGTTAACCTATGATGTCACAATTGCAACTTCTTTCTGCATCAGATTTTGGTTGTTTGAACCTCGCTGTGGCATGCACGATATTGGAGGTTGGTACGTGGAGACATTCGGTCGGGATAAGAAAGGTCGGACCGTCCCATCCCAGAGGTATTGGGATGGTTTGGATGTAAATGATCATTCTGACAAGTAAGCATCTCTTGTATATTCCTTATCTTATTTGCATGGATCCATGGACTGATTATATCTGTATATGATGGCAGTAGATATTCCATAGTTAAAATCTCTCCATGGACTGATTATGTGCTGAGTTCTACAACTCTACACTTCTACAGAATTAAAGTTAAAATTTTCTTCTTTTCGCCCATCATTTCCTATCCATTTTAGGGTCTTTTGGAACTCCACAATCTACTTTATGCGGGATAAAAAATTTGATTTCATGTGTACAAAACTTTGCATATGTCCATGATTATAATATGGCATCACATGTTTCACTTTATGATCTATGATGAATCTGTGTGCAGGAAACTTCACCCAGCAATGTATTTGTTTGCACTTGCCTATAGAACTCTAGATATTGAAGAGGCAAGACACAGGAGGCGAAGTATGAAGGATATGGTTGAAGATAAAATGCTTAAAATTTTCAATTGGTGCAAGGCTCGTGTGTTAAGGGTGTGAAATAATCAGTTTACATATATAATTATTTATTAATTCATTTCTATGGCGGAGAGATTCATTCCTTCGCACCTTAATGTCCATTGGAGATGAAGATTACTTCTACAGTTCAACAAAGCAAAAAAATTGACAATGGCAGACCCCTTCTCAAAGAAGGCCACCCCGTTTCAATGGAGCTCATATTCACGGGCATCGGGTGATCCGAAGTTCGAACCTAATGGCTATCAGGACCTACTGTGACTTATATCTGCCGAAAACGAGGTGCAGAAGGAGGTGTTGTCCATTTCTAATGTATATTGATTCTTGAAATATGTCCATTTCTTATAGGTATCATCAAAATACGTCCATTTTCATGTAGAAAATGCTCTTCTCCTCCCTGGTACGGGAAAACATCCGGCAGAGTGATTCACAAAAAAGTGGGGTCGGGTGGAGGATGGATGAGGATTGGGTGTGTAGAAGAGAGGTAGAAAGTGAAAACAAATGGAGGGTGTAGTTGTGTAAATGATGAGGAATGAAAGCAATATACCTTTTATGTGTGCACTAGTTACGGGAAGAAAATTGCAAATTTCCCTTCTAAAAAACTATAACATAATTTCAAGAAGGCGATATCTTGCCTTAATATGTCTTAAATTCCTTTATTGCAGAGTCACAAGTGTCAATTGAAAATGTAAATACGGAAACACGAGTTTAATCTGACACTTCGTATATTGTTATATTCTATGTGTATAGATATAGTTTTATTATAAACGGTAGATGCCAAATCATCACCACAATCACCCCCAACTCAATCCCAAGTACTCCGTAATATGTTTGTCCATTGAAATATTTTATTTCATATGCTTATTAGAGAAGAATATTAAGCTATTGAATCAGAAATATTATTGATTTTACCTCAGTGGAACTATATATTAATCACATTCATTATTGTACCCGCCACTTAATAACTACATATTGGGCTCAAATATCAAAGTGGCACACATGTTTTGCACGCTATAAACCTCATCATTCAGCCCACTATTTTTTATTGTTTATTATCACTATGTTGATATTATATTCTTTTTTTTGGTAAAGTGTTTGATATTATATTCTAATAAAGTGTTTGTGTACAATTTCAAGCAACCCAAATATAATAATCATTAACATTCCATTATATTAACCTTACGAAAATAATTTTGGGCATTTTTTCCTCACGCATCGCGCGTCATACAACTAGTATTTGAAGGAAAATGAAAGCTATTCCGCGAACCCTTCCCAATCACTTCATGGTTAATATGACCGAATGTGTTGAATTTTCTGGAATGAAAAGCTTTTGGTGGAATTTATTGTAGCCAAGTGAGTAAGTCAACAGCTTTGGACGTATATCGGTTGATTATATTTACTTTATGTTGAGGTAATTTCTATTGAGGTAGTTTATGGTGTGTGCTTTTTTTGCTATTGTAAGTTATATGTTGCTTTCAGTGGCGGAACTAGGGGGTGCGAGCCGGTGCCGCCGCCACCCCTTCGCCAGAGATGCTTAGGTATGTATAGGTATAAGCTCCATGGCGCCCCGGTCGTCTTCTACCTTTCCCCTTCCGCACCAGCTCGGCAACTCTGTCCGTGGTTGCTTCCGCTGGTGGGTTGTTTATTTTTAAGTTTTTTTAATTGAAATCAAAGTTTCAAATGACGTCCTTAGATTAAATGATGCGAAAATTAAACGACGTCGCACAACCAATAAACTTAAGAGGGTGAATGGACAGCTGGCCTGAGCTGGGGATGTAATTATTACTCCGTATGAGTTAATTTCAAAACATTAGGGAAAACGAAACGAGCAGGCTGCAGGGGACTAGCCGACTTGGGGAGTAGTGCTATTTAGAGGTCTGGTGGATTTGGGAGTATAAACTAAATTTTATTGTATTGTGGATTTTGTTTATGCTTTTACCAATTTAGCAATTGGTTTTGAACTCGATCAATAATTTTATCTATGGTAGGCATGGCATGGGTCGAGGCGGGGCGGGTACTACAAGACCCAGACCCGCTCCGTGACTTGGCGGGGCGGGTCCGCCCTGCCCCGTGACCTGCACGGGTCCAAACTTGTTGACCCATGACCCGCCCCGCCCCGCCGTAATCTAATTAGCTAGTATGTATTTTTATTTGTGGGAAGTTGTTACCAATTGAATTTACATAAAATTTATCTCTAAATACTAATTAAAAATTAATATATTAAATCAAATTCACGATACGCTAAAAATTTCAAAAATTAAGGAAAAATCACTCAGACTTGAATAATTAATCTATTTAATTATATTTATCATTGAATATATGTATTAAAATGCTATATATAAAGAAGACAATGATAATCCGTCGTTCATCTCATTCTAATATATATTAATATATTATAAAATCAAAGCATTTATGATTTATTGTATACACACATATGTATGTTGAAATGTATTTGTAGTATAATTTAAGAAAAAGTATGTATACTTATATATATTAAGCGGGTCGGGGCAAGGCGGGGCGGCACGGGTCAATTCTAATACCCGGACCCGCCCCATTGTATAGGCGGGGCGGACCCGCCCCAAATGTCTCGGGCCAGGGCGGGTCATTGCGGGTCGGTTTTTTTTGACATCCCTAATCTATGGATTTAGTTACTTCGTATTCCGTAATTAACTTCCCCATTTTGATTTTTTTAATCCGTGAAAATAAAACCTAAGACATAGAATGAAATAAACTTCAGCACTCGAAATCATAATCAAAGACATCTCCTGCAATACCGGCGGGTCTAGGAGGTCTGACCCGCCGCCTCCCCATTTTTTGGTCCATCAAGCGTCATGCCTTCGTCCCCTTTATCCTCTTCAAGCTTGTCCTCCCATAATCTCCTGCGCTTAGTCTCTCCTGGTTCCCCTTCCACATCACCCGCTACTTGCTTTGATGCACTAGCCCCTGTCCCAGCCGACTGCGTCTCCTCGAGTTCATGCTTCCTCTGTTGTCCAGCTTCCTTGGAGCTTACAGGGTCTTGTACAAGCCACTTATTAGGACCTGCTAGGGTAGTTTTTGCTCCTCCCCCTGCCCTAAGCTCAACTCCAAAAGATTTTTCAATAATAATTCCTTCCTCATATCGTAACAAGCAAAACTTATCCGAATGTCCAATCACCCCACATATGAAATAGAAATTGGGTAGTTTCTCATACTTGAAATCAACCCAATGTCCCTTTCCTTCTTTTTTCAGAGAAGTGCCATTTTTGAGGGGCTTCCTAACATCCATACAGATTCTGATTCTCTAGAAAGATTTCCTTTTGTCTCCATAACTGTTTTCATCAAACTTTATAAAAGAGCCAATAAAATTTCCAATTCGTTTGGTGAGCTTGTTTTCCCAATTATTAATTTTATTAAACAATTTTTTCATTGAACACATAATTTTATATTTGCGCAATGAATTGTGTCATAATAAGAAAAAAATAAGATTGATGTTACTTTTCTGACTGTATTGGCTGAAATTACTGTAGAGGATAATTTTACTTATTTTTCATATATTTTTTCCTTTGTTTTATTAGTAACATATATTTTAAATATATTTTTTCATAAATCCGCAGAATCAGTCAATCCACCCACTTCAGCCAGCACTTCATAAATATTAGCAGAATCAGCTTATTAATTCAATTTCAGTGTTACCAAACGGGCTCTTAAATATATTAGATAGAATTACATGAAATTAGATCGGTTAAATTTAGACAATAGTAACACACATGAAATAAATACTCCTTCCGTTCCAATATTATCATCAAACTTTTCTTTTTCGTTCGTCTCAAAATTTTCTTCTCTTTTCCTTTTTGCAAAACATTTGTGATTCACAACCATTCTTAGGATGTTTTTACTTGGACTGTAATTTGCTGGTCTGGTCTGGTCTGGTCTGGTCTGATCTGGTCTGGTCTGGTCTGAACTGGTCTGGTCTGGTCTGGTAAGGTCTGGTTTCTTTGTATTTTTATAACTATCCAAGTCTGGTCTGGTCTGGTCTGGTCTGAACTGGTCTGGTCTGGTCTGGACTGGTCTGGTCTGGTCTGGTCTGGGACAAATTACAGTCCAAGTAAAAACATCCTTACACTTTCGTACACATCTCTCTCTTACACAACCCTCTACCACACAATATTCACTATCTTAATTCCAATTAATGCCATTTGTACGTCATGAGTTAAATTAGAGACACAGAGAGTATATATATACTAAATCATATTAGACCAGATCAAACTTGTAAATTCCAATTCAATTAACATAAATAAGTGACTTTTCACTAAATACAGTGAAAAATTGATTCATGAAGATTTCAATGATGAATTAGTCGATGGTGTGAACGAGTGAAAAATAAAAGGAAAGAGACATTTTTAATGATTTCAATAATGAATTAGTTGATGGTGTGAAGTACATTACAAGTTGAATTAGTAATTACAATATAAGTCCATTACATTTTTATTCTATGAATAACAGTAATAATTTTTTTATTTTGACATTAAATTTTTTGAATATGTTAGTGTTTTCAAACTTAAAGACGCTTACTTCATTTTTTTACAAGAATAAACTTAATTATCATTAATCAAATTATCGTTCAAAATGAATAATAAAATTAGGAGGAGAATTAAACCAAAAGTGACACTAAACAAGCTGACTGAGCCAAGCTATGAGCCACCTTGTTCAAAAAGAAAAAAAGGAGTAGTATTTATCAATTCCGATGTAATCCAACAATCAAAATTAGTATTAATATTAAGGAGAGAAAAGGGTTGTTATTAACTTTATGAGAGAATTCCCTAAATAAGAGTAAAAACGTTTTGAAATTTCAAAATAGGAGTATCATGTTTTTTATTTTCTAAATAGGAGTAAGTTTCTGCCAAGTTTGGGCATTACAATGCTTTAAACATGACATTTTCTTCCAAACTTGGCAGATTACTCCTGACAATTTGTGTAACTTTATATGTTAGGACTAAAAAGGAAGTGAGTATAACGAGAATCAGGTGCTGGAAGAACACTCTGTTGTCTTTATTACTTTTCCATCTATATTCAGCCTACACTAAATAGCGATGTGCCAGGATCAATGGGGGGAGTCTAAAGAACTCCCGCCAGCGTTAGAAAGTCAAAAGTCTTCCATGCCTAGATTCACTCCACACTTCTTTGTTGATTCACTTCTCTCTACATCAGCTCTAATTTGTTCTCGAGGATAGGCCATAGTTCTCGATCTCTGAAATTATCAATCCAGAATTGTTCATTTGCCGCTGTTCAGTCTTCCTGGATTATCCAAAGCAAAGATGAAGAACAGAGGCAAATCAATCGTAGGTCGATGGCAGACCCTAGGGTTGCCCCTCGTTTTCCTCTTATGCCTCTTCTTCTTCCTCGCAGGCTTCTTCGGCTCTTCCCTCTTTTTTCGCCAGGTCTCTGCTCGATTCATTACTTTATATGCTAAAATTGTTATGTTTCTGTGTAAATATCGAACCATTTTTATATATTTTTCAAAGGATGAAGGAATTATACGGCCTGTGCCTAGGATGCTGGAGTCGATGGATGGTTATGATCCGCAGCCGCACGGCGAGACTGGAGAGGATTCCCTGACTATCATCCCATATCAGGTTTGCATTTTTATGTAATAATAAATCGAAAGCATTTTCAGTTTCTAAACGGTTTTATTTACAGTTTTTAATGTTCCTAGCTTGATAAACCAGGGAATAATTGTTTTTGTTGTTTGTATTTTGTGTGCTTGTGTTCGTTCTTAGTGTCACTACTTAGCCTTCCACCCAGAAGGGTCAGTTTTGATCGAGGATTTGGGGGGCCTATTTGAGAATTTTGATTAATCAATGAGTAATTTAGTAGATCAATAGGTGATATATAAAGTATATACTAATAATGAAAAAGTGAAAATAGAAGCAATTGAATGTCGTACTCATGTGCTTTAGTAGCTTTTAGTACCAGGGTAAGACTGTGTAGATCAGACCCCCTTATCCTCCCTTAAGTGGGGGCTTTTGCGGCACTAGGGTAATGATGATGATGAATAGGTGATACTTAAAATATTCTCTCGATTCGTATTTAGAGACATTCCACGGAGTATTTTTCAAGATGTAACTAAGCCCTCAAAAGCCTTTACCTCCAAAACCATCTATCCAAACTAACCCTAAGTATCAAAGAGAATAAGAATTTCATTTTCTTGAGAAGTCCTTGGAGCAAAATATTTCTCTGTAGCAGTGTAGCCTCTAAACTCATTGCAATTTAGCATAGGGAATATGGTTTCTGGAATATTTTGTTTGGCTTACACTATTTACTAGGACACACACCACATGATTTCAATGGATCATGCCCCTGGTGGAATTACAATTTATCCGTTCATATGCTGTAAAATTTTCTTATGTTGGTTGGGAATTGAGATCAAGCCGTTTACGTTATAGACAAATTATTTGATGGTGACACTTTTGTTATCCACTTCTTTTCCCATTTGTTGGTAGGTATTAAGCTGGTATCCTCGTGCATTATACTTTCCCAATTTTGCAACTGCAGAGCAATGTGAAAGCATAATTAAAATGGCCAAGGCAAACCTTCAACCTTCATCTTTAGCTTTTCGTAAGGGAGAGACCTCTGAAAACACCAAAGGAATAAGAACAAGGTAAATTTGTTCATTATAGATCAACCTCATTTCTTGCCAGGGTATAGCTTTTGGTATCAACACCATTCTTTCAAGCAAAGTAGTATCTATATGAAAGGATCTTGATAACTATGATTGTGATAAAAAAAATACAAATTTTGGAAAGGTCTTTTGTCCTTCCAATCTTTGACTTTCATTGGTGACTTCAAGGCGTTTTATTTCATTTAATCACAGTTCTGGCATGTTTATAAGTGCTTCTGAAGACAAGACTGGAACTTTGGATCTCATTGAGGAGAAAATCGCTAGGGCGACCATGATCCCCAGGTCTCATGGAGAGGTAAAAGTTACTCTTAATATTTTATACATTTGTGAAACTAAGAAAAATTAATTTGAGTAGAATTACCTCGGAGTCCAATATATGCAAGCTAGCAATATCTGTTTAATTACTAATTTTCTATTATGATTTTGCTGATGAGGATGGTTGCCATGTTTCAGTCGTTTAATGTTCTGCGGTATGAAATTGAACAAAGCTATCACTCTCATTATGATGCATTCAACCCAGCTGAGTATGGCCCACAGAAGAGCCAAAGGGTATGCACAAATATGAAAGTTTTGAAAAGGTTATCTCATACCATCCTTGTATTACTTAATTTTGATGGAACCCTTCCAGGTTGCTTCATTCTTGTTGTACCTATCTAATGTTGAAGAAGGTGGAGAAACGATGTTTCCGTTTGAGGTAATAATAATACCACATTTGTCATGTTTGTCCCTCTTATAATACTCCATCTGTATGTAATTGTTTGCAGCATTAGCTTTTTGTACAAACTTTACGGGTGAAATAGGAGATGTTGTGAATAGTTTTATGAAAATGTAGGAAGTAAGAGAGATGATGGAAAACAATAAAAATTAAGGGTAGTAATACGTGGAGCATTTTTAAATGAAAATTTACCAAAAAAGGAAAGTGTTGCAAATATTTAAATATGAATTAAAAAAGAAAAATGTGATAAACTAACAAATACGGAGAAAGTGGGTTTTATTCACTTTGTTTCTATTCTTTAATATTGTGGTAACTTCTGTTTTTCATATTCGCAGCATGGGCAGAATATGGATAGTAATTATGATTTCCGCGAGTGTTTAGGCTTAAAAGTAAAGCCCCGCAAAGGAGATGGACTTCTATTCTACTCACTGTTAGAAAATGGTACAATTGATGCCGTAAGTTCTTAATTTTGTTGTTATTTCCGTTATACTCTCTTCACAGTATAGTTTTAATAATTTTTATGCGTCACAGTATAGTTAAGACTTAAGAGCTACGGAGTATATGTTAAGAAATTAGAATATATGTCTTACAAACATATAAAAAATGAAAAATGATACACATAATTTGCTGATTTGTTAATAATCACACATCAATTATTCCCATGTATTTCAATTATAGTCTCTCTGTCAATAATAGTCCCTAAGCTTTGTGGTTGAGGATTTTTTTCAATAAGAAAATATGTTAGGCTAGAAGCCTAGAATTGAACAAAAGATTGTGATTATATAACAAAAATGCTCAATAAAAGTGGATTGGGCGTAGTACAGATTAAGATTGGGGCAACAAGTTAAGGGGTCATACACAATGAAGATTATTAAGGATATTTTTTGTTGGATTAATTTGTTTTAGATTAATCTAAATCAGACTTCCTTTAAAAAAACTAAATCAGACTTGGACAATGTAAAAGAGGAAATTCCAAAAGATAGGACCTTTTTGTTTGACAAAAAATCAGAAAATTACAACTCAATTAAAACATCCTAAAATCAAACACTTAATAGTTGAGACAATTGTATTCAATTTTAAACATTAGTTGTTTCTACTATAGGTTGACCTGGGACTTGTGTAAGAGTTTAGAGCGCTCTTTAACAAGGTGTAGGGGAGTGTTTAAAACACATGATAAATTGAGTCCTTACTAGGGCTGGCAATATCACCCGCACCCGCGGATACCCGGTCAACCCGAACCGCAAATATGGACGAAAACCCGCAAAAGTATGGATGAAAAATGGATGACGGGTGGATTGAAAGACGGGTTGGATCGGGTGTGGATGAACACTCATCCAACCCGTCACCCGACCCGTCACCCGCTCCACCCACACACCCGCTAACCCGCATATGTGTGTGTGTATATACTATGTATATTATGATGTCTATTTAAAAATATATATATATAATAATAAATATTAATACATTAATAGATACGGAGTATGTATTAGTTAATGGAGAAGACACATAATTATGAATTGTTTAAGTAAATACAATTGGAGAGTTTCAAGAAGTGGCAGTTGAACTGTAAAAATAGTTTTGTACCGATGAGAAATATAGAATTTGACAGTTTGAAGAAGTTTAATGTCTATTTTGTTTGATAATCAGTTTTTTCTTTTTAGACAATGAATTAATGATTGTAATATACTCAATTACTCAAGTTAATGTTGTTATTCAATGAATTCTTAATTATGGGTTTTTAATTGTCATGATTTCTCTTTATAGTTTATTTATTTTGTCTTTCAAGTTAGACCATTTATATTCACCCGTTACTCACCCGATCCACCCGATAACCCATTCATGATGGATGAGTTGGATGTGGATGTAATTTTTAATGGATGATGGACGGGTGGGTGGAGCATGAAAAATTAACGGGTGGACGTGGATGAGCCTTCACCCGGTATAAATCCGACCTGTTGCCACCCCTAATCCTTACTTTGGGGGATATGTTGTGAGATTTGGATTGGTTGAACATATGCAGACCTCGCTTCATGGGAGCTGTCCAGTGATCAAAGGAGAAAAATGGGTGGCAACGAAGTGGATACGGGATCAAGAACAAGATGATGAATAATATGTCTATTCTACCCTCCTCAATCCAATTACTCCGCGTAATTTCAATACTTTATCCTTTGTGATTTGCAATCAGTAGAAATGTATAACACTGTATTATAGTCGACAAATAGGCCTTTTTTTTATTTGTCATACACTTATACTGTAGCACTATTTTGGAGGATAACTCTATTACTACCTCCATCCCATTCAAAGGTTCCAAACCACTATTCACGTGATCAACTTAAACCATTCTTAATTTTTTGCTTTATATATCAATATTTTTATCAAATTTATATTTTTTTTATCAAGATTTGTAAGGGTTTTAATTTAGTTTCTGAATATGTAATTTTATTTACTAAAAACAATCAAAGTGTGAACAGAGATTATGTTACTTTATCGTCAGTCAAACATGGTAAACTGAATTGGATTATTGGAAACCTCTCTATAGGACGGAGGGATAGGAATGGACTCGGGTCGGGCCAACTGGCCCGGGAACCGGTCTGGGTGCCGGTTCGGGCCATCCGACCCGATCATATAGTGGTCCAGGCTCAGGCCTGAGAAAAGATGAACCGGCCCGGTTCGGGCCATAACGGCCACATTTTTAATTTTTAATTTTTAAATAAATTAAACCCTCCTAGCCGTTGGGACTGTTCCCAAATGGCTCTATAGCCGTTGGAGGCATAGGAGGGGGGGTCCGGGGGGGTTTGGGGGGGTGAGGTGGGGGGTGGGGGTGGGAATACAAAAAAAACCTATTTATACTTCTATTTTCTATACATTTTTTACACCTCTTCTCCTACAATTCTTCCTACTCTCTAATTCTCTATTCGCTCATATTCAATCATCTATTCATCTTCATCTTCTCCAATTCTTTCTACATATATACTACCTCCGTTCTTAAATAAATGCAACACTTTGAATTTCACACTATTTACATGTTCTACTTTGACTACATTTTATTTATTAATGTATTAATATTTTTTTATGATTTTTTTTAAATTCACCTTATTCTAAACTTTCAAAAGTTATTTTTTATAACTTTTTTACTAATACAAAATTAAATATATTAATGGTCAAAGTTACATTTATTTAAGAACGGAGGAAATATTATTTATATAATTATTATATTACTACTATTTATTATCTACTTAATATATACTCCGTACTTGTTATCTACTTAATATTTACTTGATTTTCAATTATTATCTATACTTATTGTTATTTACTTATATTTACATATTACATTTAGTTAATATATACTTATATATATATATATATATATATATATATTAAAGTATTAAGTAAAAGTGTATTACTCATCTTATAGTAATATACTTATATATTATACACTATAAACATTATATTATATATTACTTATAATATATTTACACATTATATATAGTATATATACTTGTACACATTCATATTTACTTGATATTTAGTTATTATCTATACTATTGTTATTTACTTATATTTACATATTACATTTAGTTAATATATACTTATATATGTATATTAAAGTATTAAGTATAAGTGTATTACTCATCGTATAGTAATATACTTATATATTATATACTATTAACATTATATTATATACTCGTATTACTTATAATATATTTACACATTATATATACTTATACACATTCATACATTTTATAAAACTAGTTAATTGTTACACTTCTCATTTTTCTATTAAATTAGTTAATTGTTACATTTCTCTACATTTCTCTTTAAACAAAAAAAAATTAGTTACTTGTTACATATCTCATATTAATATTAGTTAATTTTTATACATTTATCTTTAAACTATCTCAATTTTCCTGTTTTTTTAAGACAATTTTGTAACTATATTATAAATCCGGCTGACATCGACACTTGTGAAAAAATTGTTAATGTTTTGGTATATTTTAATAATGCAACTCAAACTTTTAGTCATGTTTATAAACCTACCGCAAACGAATTTTTTGTTGAAGCTGTTAATCTCATCGACGCTTTTTGTGAATTTGCCGATGCCGCTTACGTTAGTTATTTTTGTGATTTCATGAAACAAAAGTTTTTTAAAATATTATTCACATATTCTGCATATATATGGTATTGCATTTATTCTCGATCCTCGTTATAAACTTGCTTACTTGGGAACTTGTATAGATTACTATTATGCTTCTTTTTTTCCAACTCAAGAGTTCGATGATAATCCCATAGACCCTAAACAAGAATTCAACGAGGTTAGTAATTTATTTCATCAATTGTATAATGAATTTTATGCACAATATGGTAATGCACCCCCTCCCCTGTCGCGAACATCTTCTTCATCTAAAGGAAAATCACTTTTAAAATCTGCATTTGGTTCTCTTATGAAAAAAAGTAGAGCAACTCCCGCTACTAAACAAAGCTCAGTTAACGAGCTTTCTTTGTATCTAACATTGAATGTTGATTATGAAGTTGGGGATGACTTTGACGTTCTTAAGTGGTGGAAGGAAAATGAAAGAACGTTCCCGGTTTTAACAAAGATGGCTAAGCAAGTGCTAAGAATGCCGATATCAACAGTTGCCGTGGAACAAGAATTTAGTGCCGCCGACAACGTCCTAACCGATTATAGAACGAGATTGAGCCCGAGCACTCTTGAGACGCTAGTTTTCTTCCACGATTGGTTGAAGGCCCAACGAAGAACTCAAGAAATGAGCATCGCTCCCACCCGCAACTTTATGGAGGAAACAACGGAAGGCGGAGATTCCGATTGATTATTTATTACAAAATTTATTACATTTATTAAATTCATCCTAATTCTCAACTGTACTTCTTATTTGAAATAAATATACTTGATTTTTTTTATGTTATTGTGTACATCAATTTAAGAATCAACAAAAAAAGCCCGAAACTGGACTGGCCCGGCCCGGTAAACCGCCGGGTGGCCCGGCCCGACCCGGAACCGCCAACCACCCGGGCCGGTTCCGGTTCCCTTATTTCCAAACAAAGGCCCGGCCGGGCTCAGGCCTGAACCGGAACCGGCCCGGCCCGGGTCCATCACTACATAGGGAGTAGTACTTGGGAGTTAGGACACACTAGAAGTCTAGAACCTAAAAGAAAAGTAGTGCAACATTTGATGCTTCAGCAAGCTTTCCTAAAAGTCCATTCTGTACTAACCTTCACACGTTTCAAAATTTAAATTCTAATCCTCTCAAAAAAAATTTAAGGAATGGTATGACTTGGTCTTCGACACATCTCATTATGGCTTCACTCTATCAATATTTTTATCCAGTATTATTTTTTAAATTAAACCCTTTTTTTTGGACAATAAATTAAAGGGGTTATGTCTAAAATAATACTAAAAAAAGAGCTATGGACAAAAAAGAGACCTTTTTTTCACTTTCCAAAAATGGGACTAAAAAGAGGATTAAGAGAGTACTATACCCTTATACTAATATAATCTAACCCATTAGTGCTCCAGTATAGTCATAGTGACCAACAAAAATATAGTGACAAAAAATTAGTGACGAAAAATCCAAATTCTGCCAAGTGACAAACGTTCGCCCGGTTAGTGACCAACGTCTGCCCGTACAGTTACAGTTACCCGACTCATCCAGTTACAATTACCCGATCCGTCCAGTTACAGTTACACGACCTGTCCAGTTACAGTTACCCGACCCGTCCAGTTACAGTTACTCGACCCGTGTAGTTACAGTTACCCGACCGTTCACTTACAATTACCAACTCGTCCAATTACCCATAAACCACCACTGACCACAGCCACCGCCAATTACCCATAAACCACCACCTCCCACCGCCACCGTCAGCAACCACCACCTCCCACCTCCGGCGAGCACCACACTCAATCCCAATGCCTCACCCAGCCACCTCCCCTGGTCACCCTAACCCCCCTGCATCACCCAGCCCACTCTCCCCTGCATCACCCATCCCAATGCTCCGGCCACCGCCGGCCATGCTCCGGCCGCCACCGCTCATGCTCCGGCCGCCACCGCTCATGCTCCGGCCGCCGCCGGATCGGCCTTACAAACCTTACCCGACCCCACCATCGCCCAAGACCTTGTCAAGACCTCATCCCATACCCCAGGCAACCAGGCCCATCACCTCCACCCAGCATTTCCCCCTCCCCTGCTGCAGGCGGCTGCAAATATGAGAATTAAGCCGCCGCCGTCGCAATCGAACTGCAGCCGCCGCAGATCTAGTAATGTGGATGAAGGCTTTGTCGAAACTAGCTTCTCCCATCGTCCATGGAATTTTCGACCAAGACATCTTCGTTGTTGAGCCGCTGAAGCACCTAGACGAAGAAGATGAACGTTGCAGACGCGAGCGGCGGAGTCAAGCGCGGGCGGCGGTGTGTATCGGCGAAAAGGTGTCCGACGTTGATGTTTGGAGCTTTGGTCAGTGGTGTTGTTGCGCGCAGGGGAGAAGCTCGGAGAAGACTGTGGGATGGTGCGTTGCTTGGAGACTGTGGGATGGTGCGTTGATGAGAAGTCCAGACTCCTTTTTTAGTCTTTATTTCTTACCCTTACTTTTATTATAATATACTATCTTTGTCCCATTTTATGTAGTTATTTTGGTTTCACACAACTACTAATAATAAAGTGATTGAAAAAGTTAAAATTGTGGTTGAAATATGAATATAATAAAATGAAATGCGACGAATTGCATATTTTTTCTAAAATGGGAATATGACACTTATTTTGGGGCAATCCGAAAAAGGATTAATTTTTATTTTTAACTTTTTTAAGTGGACACAATTACATTTTTAAAGTGTGTCCACTTTTTTAAGTGTACACACTTAAAAAGGGAGAAGTGGACACAATTACATTTTTAAAATTTTTATTTTTTAATTACGATTTATTAATTTATTTGTGGTCTTTTTTTAAATTTATTTGATTATTTAAAGTCAATAAGGATTAATTTGCTCCTTTATAAAAAATGAGGGATATTTTTCACCTTTTTTTAAAGTTCAGGGGTTTATTTGTTCTGAAAAATAGAACATGGGTATATTTGTTCCTCCACCTATACTACAGGGGTATATATGTACCTTTTCCCTAGTTATAATGCAAAAACTTAAACCTTTTGATGTAAAAATAAATAAATTTGAAGTTTAATATTTTTCTTGATACTTCAAAGCTCTTTTGTAGAAAAAAATAACCAAAAGATTTTAAGTGTTTTAATAGGCATATTATTGTTGTAAATGTTCTAATAAATTACTTCCCCCGACCCGTAAATATTGTCCCATTTTACCTTTTCGCGAAATCCCACTACAATTGTTCCTTACCAAATTTAGTAAAGTTTGTGTAGCTCTAAATCATTTTTACTTTATTCTTACTTTATCAATTAATATCAACAATGAAAACTCACTTTTCTTAATAACCTTGTCATCCCCTTCCGTCCTTTTTGTTCCAATATTAATGTGACGGAGGTAGTATGATTTTGTATTATTCACACACCTCACGATTCATACATTGATACACTAGTTTGTTTATCTCAATGGTTTTCTCTCTATTACGGTTTTGTGCCTCTTTTTTACACCCAAATTCATGAATATGGTTTGTATTTAGCCTATAAGAGCCTAAGAGGAGATGAGGTATTGTTACACGCAAATTATACCGTATGACGGTATACGGTGAGCACCCGTATACCGGTATACGGGCTTCTTTATTTTTTATTCCTTTTGTTTTTAAAAAATGGTAATAACTTTTTTATTTTTGATTCAATTTTTATAAAATTTATATCAACATTTTTTATTTTTCACAATCTTTCAAATGAGACCAATATTGCTTATGTAATTTTAAGAAATTATCGAACTATTATATTAATGAGTATTGGATTATAAGGAAAATCGAACTAAATTTAATACAGAAAAATAATTGTGTAAATCACAATTTATCTTAAAAATGTGTATATAAAAAATTTATTTTATTATGTATTTATACATGTGAGTTACATATTTTCATACGTAAAGTTACATATTTGTACACGTAAAGTTACATATTTATACACACGAGTTGCATTTGGCCTGCCTGAACGTGAGTTACATATTTTTACATGTAAAGTTACATATGTTTACACGTAAAGTTACATATTTATACACACGAGTTGTATTTGACCTGTCTGAACGCGAGTTACATATTTTTACACGTAGAGTTACATATTTATACTATACACACGAGTTGCATTTGGTCTGACTGGACGTGAGTTACATATTTCTACACATAAAATTACATATTTTACATAGGTTAATATAATAGTTCGATAATATGTTAAAATTACGTAGGCAATATTGGTCTCATTTGAAAGATCACGAAAAATAAAAAATTTTGATATAAATTTTATAAAAACCAGATCACAAATGAAAAAGTTATTATAGTTTTTAACAATAAGAGAAATAAATAAATAATAGGACCCACTATCATTTTAATACATGTTTCATGCGGAGCTTCCAAAAATGCCTAAAACCGTATGTCGGTATACGGTGCTCACCGTATACCGGTCATACGGTATAACAACTGATTGTCACGGGGTAATTCTAAATACAGCCACACAATTGCCATTCACAGTCCTAATAAAAAATAATTAATAATTAAATGTAAATCGAATGTCTATTCTATCCCTATCTATTTAATTGCTATTGACGGATCTGTAGTGCTCATTAACACATTGTCTTCCTCCCCGTATGTCAACCCTCCATATTACCACAACACTCATGTTCCCAGCATGGCCAGGGGTGGAGACATGGAGGGGCTGGAGGTGGTCACGGCCCCTGCAAGAAAAAAAATTCTTAAATATATATTATGAGAAAATATGTTGATATTTTAAATTTTGGCCCCTGCAATTAAAATTCTTAAGGACCGGCCCCTTTAACCATAAATGTCTGGCTCCGCCCTTGAGCACGGCAACACCTCTGATGTTATCACTTCTTTTTCTTTGTCCTTAGCCTACATCTCTTTTGAACCACAATTCTTGTCCCCTGTTCGCTTTTAGGAGTATAAACCTCAGTTCTTGTCCCCGGGCGGCATGGTATTCCAGGCGATGAGCTCAATTGGGTGGCTGGCTTTTGTTGTATTCACGAGTAGCGGACCGGTAGGGCGGCCAAGCTGGATTGCAGGAACTAGGTAGCAACTGGAGGAAACGGGGGGTCTGGGGACTGGGGTGGACTGATCTCCCTTGTCGCAGACTAGATCCAGGCAGGGTACTACCTTTCTCTCCTAAAATAACCTTGCAGCCTCCATAGCCGACGTTGCCACCACCATAGCTTTGGTCATGTCCACCTTCATAGTCGAGCATCCTTTAAGGAGTTGCTTCCTATTCTGGGAAGACATATTCATATTCACAAAGTATAGATAGTGTGGTTGTGCTTTAGCAGTTGAAAAGAATTTATTTTTGTAGAAGGATAAGTTTGTAAAATTCATCCTTTTGTACAAAACGTATTCAAACAAGAGGCTGTGCTTAGCAAAAAAATGGGTTGCATTTAGAATTACCCATCGCCGTATTGGGGTGTGCTTCGGCTATTAATTCCTGGGTCAACGAAGGACTTTAACAAACAAGGCTCGAACAATGCGGTGGTAGGGAGGCCAACTCGTGTCTCAGCTCAGCCCAATTTTGATAAAATCCTTAAATTTTAAATTATAAAAGGATTTATTACGAAAATTTGTACTCCCTCCATCCTTGAAACAATTTTCCGCTTTGACTTACACACATTTTTATGTAAGTTAAAGTGGGAAGCTGGCCTTCCCAAA